ATCCTTCGTTTTGAGTTATTAAGTTTAAAGAAAGTTTAAGGTAGATGGCGCTTTGTTGCATATAGACTAGGTTACATTTGTCATTCGTGTTCATTTATGGCTAGTTTGTCTTAAACGTTTACTATGTGTAGTAGTGAGGTGACTCAGAAGTGTTCCGTTTAACAATGGCAGGATATTCATACCGAGAGAAGGCAGATATGATTTTTACATACGACCATGCGAATAGTAATGAACGCGAGGCTGCACGGCTGTATCAGTTTGCGCTCCCAGGTCGAAGGCAGCCGATTCAAGTATTTTGGATTGTATTTTGGATTGTAAATTTAACAGCGTCTACCGTAAACTTTAAACGTAATAATTCAAAAACGTAGAATTTGCAGAGGTATGTTTATATAGACTTTTGTATTTGTTGTGGTGTGAGTCGTAATATTTAAAATAAATATGTCATAATCTGTGTAAAGTTTATATTTGAAAAAAGTTGATCTTCTACTTTACATCATGGAAGTGACTCATCGCACCTTCTCAGGCGAACGTTCTCAGGTGACATGACGTGGAAAGACTATATTGAATCCATTGCTAGGTCAGCTTCTAAAAAGTTGGTTCACTGTGTCGTGCGAGACAATGTTTCTCCCCAGAATCTATCATGTATATCTATAAATCTGCCATTCGTCCATACTTGGAATATTGCTGCTAAATATGGTCCGCTGTCACTAATATTTACCTTGAGCTCTTTGATAAAATCCAAAGAATAATCAGCAATATTATCAGCCCATATTTGGCCGCTAGGCTTCAGTCATTTTCCCTCCGCTGTAAGGTTGCCTCTCTGTCTCTTTTCTATAAACACTTTCATGGTAATTGTTCGGATGAGTTCTACGCAATGGTACCTAGACTTTTTGAATATCAGCGGAGTACTATACCGGGCTCGTGATATCATCAGCGATTCTATGCTTTTAGAACCAACTTTAATCTGCCAAAATTTTAATATAATCTTAATCTGTATCTACTTTCATCCGGATTACTCTTTTCGATTCTCGATCATTATTAATGTTTCTGCTCCTAATTTTTCCACACTCTGCAACGCTTTGTGCCTTAGTGGCTTTACTGCCTTGCATGGGGTGATAACAATTAGAAAATTAAACGTAAAACAGAAAAATACAATACGTACATACAGTTAAGACATTATTAATAAAATGTCTTTGATAAGTGCTTACAGAAAGTAACATTTCTCAGGTATCGAACAGTTTATGTTACATTTTTTTTCTGTGGAAGTCTGGATTCTTTTTTGTCCTCTATATACCGTGTCCACTCAGAACATTTTCGATCATGGCTCTCCACAATTTCCTGTCCTTTAAACCTCTTAATAAATTTTGTCTTTTTGTTATCTATCCTAAACCATCTTCTGACAACCATTCAAACAAGCTGAATAGGCAGGTCATACATCGTTTTCCTTTGTCCTTCTTGCCTGCATTATGAGTATCAAATTATGTCACCCTAGAAAACACGGAGGGATTCTGAGGAATCGGAGAGCTGAGTTCAAATTCCAGTCGAATCCATTACATTCACTTACGTTATAATAACCTTCGGAAAGGTATGATCCCTCTTCTCCCCACCAATTATTGGCAAACAGTTGGACAGACCGGGTTTTAAAGCGTTGGATGGCAACTGGTCTACCGCAGAAACAAATGGCAACCTACTACGGGAAAATATGCCTCGTCAGTCATGTATCGAAAGATACATGATCGCCTATGCGTGTATCACGCGTGGCACATAACTGACTGTGAAGCTCAACAGTCTCTTTCTAATATTAAGTTTTATATATATTTTTGTTTCCATTTTCTCTCAAGCTCCGTCGTTGTACAGATGTTCGGAGCTTGAGAGAAAATGGAAACAAAAATTATATAGTCACAGCATCCTTCTGTAGAACCACATTTCTGTTGCTTCAAGTATCTTATTTTTCTGTGAGGAGCTTGGCCAGCATTTAATGTCATATAAAAAGACACATAATGGTCCGAAATACAGAAAATATAAACAATTTCTTTACCAGAAACATTTCATTGATTACTAAACATATATATATATATATATATATATATATATATATATATATATATATATATATATATATATATATATATATATATCTGAGTGTGTATATGCGTATATATATATATATATATGTGTCTGTATATAAATGCGTGTGTGTATATATATATATATATTTATATATATATATACATACAAACAATATATACATATATAACACAAACAAACACATACACACACACACACACACATATATATATATATATATAAGTATACGTGCATATATATATATATATGTATGTGTGTGTGAGTGTATGTGTGTATATATATATATTCTGTGTGTATATATACACATATATGTGAGTGTATGTGTGTATGCACTTATATATATATATATATATGTGTGTGTGTGTGTTTGTGTGTATATGTGTGTGTATGTATTCATGTGTGTGTGTGCGTATATTATCACGTAAACGTTAATGTTCCTGTAGACACTCCGTTTATTTATTAAAGAGTATATTCATTTATTTTAGTCTACCGGCCTGAATATTCGAAAAATCTTACTCGAGAAATATGTTATATTACAAAGAATTATTATTACATCAATTGTTATTATAAGACTCACTTCCTATTTCAAACAGACGTCTATTTTTATTCATTAAACAGTTTGTATTCCGTTTATCGGTTTGCTCATTCCAAAAATTTTAATAACGAAAACACGTTCTCTAGGTGTGATCGAACCTGCATCCATCTTTATAGCGGAAACTACCGTTTGATCTGGTATGCTTTACCGCTCGGGTACGAAAGACATAATAGTAAACGAGTCTCTTTTTACCTTATTTAAAGAAAACACATCCCCTATCACTAAGGTTTCTTCAATGTCTCGGCAGATAGTCGTAATAGGCATTTTAATAAATAAAAACCTCTCATTTATCTTAAATAAGAAGTGTACAAGTGAAGAGAAAGAATGAGAGGTGCTGTGGGATATAGATTTGAAGGGAGATTTGAATAGAGTTCTGAATAGAGGTTTGAACGCACATTTGAACGGAGATTTGGACAGATTGGCATTGAGATTTGAACAAAGATTTGAAGACAGATTTGAATAGAGATATGAACGTAGATTTGAATAGAGATTTGAACAGAGACTTGAATAGAGATTTGAATAGTGATTTGATCGGAGATTTGAATAGGAATTTGAACGGAGATTTGAGTAAAGATTTGAACAAAGATTTAAATAGAGGTTTGAACGACGATTTGAACAGAGATTTGAACTGAGATTGGAATAGAGATCTGAAAAAAGATTTGAATAGAAATTTGAACAGAGATTTAAACAGAGGTTTGAACGCATATTTGAACGGAGATTTGAACAGAGATTTGAACGGAGATTTGAACAGAGATTTGAACAGAGATTTGAATGTAGATTTGAACATGGGACGTGATCAGAGATTTGAATAGAGATATGAACAGAGATTTGAATAGAGGTTTGAACGGAGATATGAGCAGAGATCTGAACAGAGATCTGAACGGAGATTTGAATGGAGATTTGAATAGAGATTAATCTAGATAGAAGATAATCTCCAATTCAAAAATAGGTAAAAGTAATTCCAAATCGACATAAACTATCGGTCAACAGGAAATGTAATAGAGCAATTACAGCAGATGTAATAGTAGAATCCAACAAAACCCTAACAAGAATCTGCGATGTTTTTCGAACCTGACCTTGAATCTCGCCTTCAGTCACTTTCCAACGCCGTAACATAGCTTAGCTGTGCCTTTCTATAAATATTTTCATGGCGATTGTTTTGATGCTCTAACCCCTTTAGTACATCGACTTCACGAATTTAATCATAATACTAGATTGGCAGTTATGTCTCATCATTTTACAGTCGAAACGTAAATAATAAGAAAACATGTTTCAAGATCGGAAGTCTTCTTCTTAATATAATCTTTTTTTTGTCTGCCATATTATTTAAAGAAGCTTCTTCTCTGGTTCCTTAGTCATTAATCATTTACCACTTTTACCCATCATCATTAGTGACCCTGTTGTTTTTGCATATTTCTTTCATGGACACAAACAAATTAAATTATTTTGCCAGGTTCATTTCGTAGCGGGGATGAGTACAGTAATTTATTTTCATGTGTTTTTAAGTTGTTGTGATTGCTTGCATTGTCTTGTCACAAAAGCATGTTCGTCATCTTCAAATTCAGCCAAGCTTAAACAGGGCTTGCTCTGAAATTTGACAGGGCTCTGTCGATTGGGTCAGAATTGATAATGATGATACTGACCATAAAATATAACAGAATGAACCCCTTTGGTGTCGCCAGTTTACGGATTATCCTTTGGTCTATTTTGAACTCTAGATCTTATCTTTTGTTCTTATGCTGCTTAAAAAGGCGCGATATCAATTGTGCAAATCTAGATGTTCTTGAGCAGCCAACACCCACTTCCCCTATGTTAACATAGATTCTGACGGTGAACCCATTTTTCAGAGAAAACATGTATAAACAGATCATTCAAAACAGCAGCATGCCTGCCGCTATGCTTCCTGATACTAACTTTACTTTCCTTTTTAAGATTATCATTAGTTGCATTAATCCATATTCTTATTATACTTAGCAGCCTTTTCATAAAATATTCACTAGCTTTCTATGGATGTTTGAAGAATTTTCCACTTTCGAAAACACAATTTCTACGAGAGTTTTTGCTTTCTATCTGTACCCAGATAGTCAGCTATTTTGAAAGAGTTTTGTGAGCAGCAGTGAGGTGGTTAATAATATTTTTATGGGTAGGAAAAAATTAAAACAATTACTTCCCCTGGTAGTCTGCACACTTTGGAGACGTCAGTTCAAAATAACCGAAGAATTCAGACTAATAATTTTACTTTTAATTAAAACGGGAATTAATTGATGGCGGATCCTCTAATACAGGCAGATATATAGATAGAAATAGATTGTTATAATTAGATAGATAGATAGATAGATAGATAGATAGATAGATAGATAGATAGATAGATAGCAACTGAATGAAAAAGAAAGACAGAAGGTTTGAAAAGATGGAATTAGCTAGGTAGATAGCTAGATAGATAGTTAAATGAGTGGGGTAGATAGATAGTTACTAGTGAAGTAGAAAGATAGAAGATCTAAAAAGAAAGAATTAGATAGATAGATAGATAGATAGATAGATAGATATGAACAGACTGTGATAGGTAAGTAGATAGATAACAGACTGAGATAGATAGATAGATAGATAGATAGATAGATAGATAGATAGAAGGTATGAAAAGATGAAATTAGATAGATAGATAGATATGAACTGAATGAAATAGATGGACGTAAAAAGAAATATATATATATATATATATATATATATATATATATATATATATATATATATATAGAAAGAGAAGAGTTTGGAGATAGATAGATAGATATATATAGTATGTATATGTATATATATATATATATATATATATATATATATATAGATAGATAGATAGATAGATAGATAGATAGATAGGAAGATAGATAGATAGATAGATAGATAGATAGATAGATAGATAGGTAAAGGACTGGGATAGAAAGATAGTAACTGGATGAAATAGAAAGATAGAAGACTTAAAAAGAAGAAATTAGATAGATAGATAGATAGATAGATAGATAGATAGATAGATAGATAGGAAGATATTGACATAGATAGATAGATAGATAGATAGATAGATAGATAGATAGATAGATAGATAGATAGATAGGTAAAGGACTGGGATAGAAAGATAGTAACTAGATGAAATAGAAAGATAGAAGACCTAAAAAGAAGATAGATAGATAGATAGATAGATAGATAGATAGATAGATTCAACGTGATAGATAACAGCTATATTGTTTTCATATTCATAACAAGGCGAGCTTAGAAAGTCTTGTCGAAGGCCAGGAAGCTCGTTTTCCCGATAAGACGAACTGAGGATCATGACATCAGTAAAGTCAGAATGGGCGCCAGCTTATCGTCGAGCTAAATGAAAAGAGATAGACACATTGATTGAAAGAAAGAATGTCAAAGTTCATCCGTGTGAATAGCAACTATTGATTCAGCCATCCATGTTCCAGGTCCTGGCGTATACTTTCTTCGCCAGACATCAGACGGGTTACGCAGCGGGTGAACACCTAGCCAGCAGCCACACCCATCGTTGACAGAGACATCGATTGCGCAGTCAGTGGTAACGGGTGCATCTTTGTGAAATGAGGTCTTCGTGAAATATACAAATAGTAGGACAAGGATTCTGTTTCGAAGCCGTTTGATGTGCCATTCATTCACGTAAATATAGGCAGAAACAAACATCTTGAAACATGTCGGTATTGATATGAGTCTATCAAACTGCCAACGCACGCTTGCCGGCACATATATAGGTATGTGTGTGCATCTCTATATATCGGACTATTGACACACGCACACACACATATGGTCGTATGCACAAACACGCACAAATACATGTCCTTTAACAACCAATATATTTTGACTTATTTTAAGCCGAAACATATTTGGATTATCATAATAATAATTTTTTGGCATGTGAATATTGCATTAACAATTTTTATTTTTTTAGAAAAACAGATATTGGCATAATTTAACATCGTGCTCCCCAAAAAACTGTATGTCAAAAGATGGCATTTCCGTTACGCCGATATTATTTTAGCTACTTTCCATCCGTGGCAGTGTTTGCCGTTTTAAAAAAACAGAAGCAACGCTTAGAAATGTAATAAAACGTAAACAAATGATGAAAGTGAATATATGCATTTTTTTTATTCTAGAGATTTTACAACAAAAATATTGAACGCTATTTATTTCCAAGAATAATTATATATTTACAAACTCCTAAACACTAAAACAATTAAAATAATTCAGTGCAATGTATATAATTTACAAATTTATAAAGAAATAAACATTAAACTTTTTTTATTCATAAATTCATAAATATTTACTAAAGCATTGATAAAACATTCATGAAACATCCATAAAACATTCATAAAACATTCGCAAAGCATTCATAGAACATTCACAAAGCATTTATAAAACATTCATAAACATTCAGAAAATATTCAGAAAACATTCAGAAAACATTCAGAAAACATTCATTAACATTCATAAATATTCAGAAAATATTCATAAAGTATTCATAAAACATTCATAAACTTTCATAAAAAATTCAGAAGACATTCAGAAAATATTCAGAAAATATTCATTAACATTCATAAATATTCATAAAACATTAATAAAGACTTCCTAAAACATTCTTAAACATTCATAAAACATTCATAAATCATTCAGAAAATATTTATTACCATTCATAAATGTTCATAAAAAAATTCATAAAATATTCATAAAACATTCATAAAACATTCAAAAATATTCATTAACATTCATAAATATTCATAAAACATTCATAAATAATTTCTAAAACATTCATAAAACATTCATAAATCATTCTGAATATATTCATAAACATTCATAAACATTCAGAAGACATTCAAAAAATATTCATAAGACATTTATAAACATTCAAAAACATTCATAAAATATTCATAAACATTCATAAACATTCATAAAATATTCATAAACATTCATAAAACATTCATAAAATATTCATAAACATTCATAAAACAATTAGAATTCCTTCAGAGGATAATCAGAAAATATTAATTAACATTCATAAATATTCATAAAACATTCATAAAGTATTCATAAAACCTTCATAAATATTCATAAAACATTTACTAAATTATTAATGTCTGTGAACAAACAAGGATATGCTTAATCCTATTTTATAAAATTGGCATCTATTGACGGTGTGCTGATGTTTTGACACCTATTTCAATAAATAATAAATAAATTGTGTTTATTATTTTTGATGTCAGTACTCAACAAAAAGGGATATGTGAAAATTTATTTTTATGCTTAGGTTTTACTACAATTCTAATAATCATTTATGATCGCTTTTTAGAACAACAAATATTTCCGAGGAATGAAGGTTGTTAATATAAAAACGATCCCAAAGGAAGTCACTTGATTTTGACTCTCCGTTTTTGTTTGCGGGTAAAAAGTTTCAAGTTTCCCAAAGCTTATTCTAGATACCGGTCCATTTAACCCGTAGCTAGAAAAGGAGATAGATAATTTTCCCAAGTTTATTTCAACTCGTAAGTGAATGTAACAAACCCGACTGAAATTCGAACTCGGCTCTCAGATTTTGCATTCCGAGCATCTACACATTACAGTCTTTGGGTAGCAATATCTCTCGAATAGGGGTCAAAGTACTATGAAAATGTAAAATGTAAATAGGGTGTTACATTTATTTTAAAGTAATATACTCACAAGAGTCTCTAAATATATAGTAGGAGAACCAGATCAGAAGAAACAGCGATATTCAAAGCAAGGACGAGTGACCAGGCCTATGAATATGTAAACACACACACACACACACACACACACACATATATATATATATATAAAGAGAGAGAGAGAGAGAGGTACGATTTGTAAATTGGTCGCCAAATTATATTTTTAATGTCGCGCCTGCACATCGATTTTTTTTTTAATTTTGTCGCCCGCACAGTATAATAGAATAGGAAAAATAAAGAGAGAAGAAAAAGAAAAATAATCCCAAGAAAAAAATAAAAGAAATAAACATTACTAAATGTATATTTATCTTCAAACAACGATTTAGCAGGTGAATTTATGCTTACAAAAGCGTCACGTTATATATATATATATATATATATATATATATATATATATATATATATATATATATATATATATATATATATATATATATATATATATATATATGGGGTAGGATATCTAACACTATATATATATATATATCATGAGATGGGTAAACTCTCGCAATCCTATATTTTGCATTTTGTGCATGTGCGTTGTATGATTTGATTTTGACAACTGCACAGTAGCTTCGGTTTGGCATCGTCTGTGAGGAAAAGAGCGCCATAACTCCACCAGAAATTTGGAAATGGCATCCTGTACTGCTTGGTATTCACGTTGGAAGCTCTAATACGAAAATCTCAAAGTTTTGGGGTGTTAATCTGAGGACAGTGCAGAATATTCGGAAACATTTGGCTGAGTAAATTAGTCATTATGAAGGTATGGCAGCTCGGAAAATTCACTCTGATCTCTCGAAAAGAATTTGTTTGTGAGGGCCTCAGGCCCAACACGGAGGCCTACATCAAGTGCCTTAAGGAAGTTGAGCTTTTCTGGATTAAGAGGATTGGCTGTTCGAACATCCTATGTCTGGCAACAGGACTCTGCACCATGTCACACAAGCAGGAGAATCCAGTCATAGCTGTCAGCCTATTTCTTCGACTGCATACCCACTTATACCAGGTCACCTACTCCCCATAGAGCAACATCCTTGATTATTATGTGTACTGTACAGTTGTGCGAGAGACCACATGCCTCCGTTTAACACCAAAAATGAACTGAACGCAAGGAGTATGGTGGCATTCCCAACTTAAACAAGAAGACCGTCTAAAAGAGTTGCAGGAGATTCCGTAGTCATCTGGAGGCCGCGGTCGGAGCAAAGGGCGATTTTATTGAATAAATTTACTCTTTAGTATTTCTATAATTTTGGTCGTAATATATATATATATATATATATATATATACCAAAAGTATATAATTGGTATACACGGAATGAAGCAAAACCAACAATTACTATTCTTAAAAGAATAAATTTACAGATATTTAGTATGTTATAAAATCTAATTAATAATTATTTTCATTTCAACACTCATTTCAACACTTGATCAAGTGACAGTAATAAATCTTTTATTTTTGTAGTGATTTATATAATATATATATAAATTTTTATAAATATTTATATATATATATATATATATATATATATATATATATATATATATATATATATATATATATATATATATATATATATATATTAAAATCAGATGTTAGTTTTATTTTCAATTTTGCGTAATTTAGACAACAATTTATACATTGTAACCTGTATATATAAATGAAGTGTGCTGAAATATATTCGAAATTTCAAGACATGATGTGTCTTCGTAAAATAAAAAAGAAAATTGATTAAAAATAATCTTTTGGATAGGTCAATGAAATATATGGCGAGACATGGAAAACCTTGCGTAATTTGACAGGTGAACAGGTTAATTAATAACTGACGTTCATCGGATGTGATTCCCTCATATTAGCAAAGAATAAGAATATGTATTAATTTTACGATACTTATATTTTCAAGTTCTGTAAGAATGTTCGAACGCAGCCATATTTAACGAGGTGTTGTCTTCCCCTGCTGGTGTTTACTTCCGGTCTTGCGCTATAGGCTTCAAAGAACTTCGTGCCAAGTCTCAACTCATTCCCACGTAGGCGTCCATGACTCTCAAATGTTTCCTTGTCAGACTATACATTTAGGGTATTTTTCGGTCATTTCACAACATGATTTTTCCGAATAGCTTCCAACATTTTCTAAACGAGGGTCAATGTTTTTATTTTTGGGTATTTTGAAGCAGCCATGGATATTCCGTTAACCTAAGCATATCTGAAGTCAGAATAAAAGCATCGTCGTCACGAATAATACATTCTTTTTTTTTTTTGACTTTGACTCAAGGTATACCTTTCCAAAAGAGAAACTATGATCTGGTTTGTTTTGTTTTGTTTTACGGTTTTAAATCGATGGGTTATTTAATGCCGGCATGATTTTATTGTTGGTAATATTTTTGGTTTGGTTTGTTTTACGGCATTTCAACCTCAATGGGTTATTTAATGCCGTCAAGATTGAAATTAAGTTGAAATTATCTGTCTATATTTCTCAAGGACACGTGGCACCGTGGATAAAGGCGAGGGTTAGATCCAGTGATGGGTCACAAAGAGTTGTGAGTTCAATACCTGGTTAAGGCAGTGAAGAACTTGGAGAGGGGAATTAACAGGAGATAACTGATAGCTGACATCCATTAGAAATGGCACGTGGAACTAGAACAGTCTAAACCAGTGAGCGAAATAAAGGGTTCAGTTCGACATTACAGCCACCTGAAGAAGGCCGGCGCGTACAACAGTCGAAACGTTGTAATAAATAGGTGAGGTCAAAAGATGAGGTCAATAGTGCGAATAATGTAAATAATGAAGATTTTTATTACTGGTATTATTTTTTTTTTCAAAAATGTATTGCTGGTATTTATTTAAAAAGAACGAAGAAATGTCTTGCTATCAACAATTTTTTCCTTCAAAAATTTATTCCTTATAATAATCTTTTACAAGGTATTTCTAGTATTAAAACCTATTTTTACATT